ATCTATCATATTTATCTCTACAGAAGAAAAATCCAAAATCAAATATATCAGGTTTTCATTTTGATATTAAACAAAGGCAAAGTTGCAGACATTTACTTAAGTTTCATGAAGATGAAAAAAACATTTAGTCACATACTCAACAAATATACAAATAAAGCCACCAAGACCAGTTGAAGACTTACCTGTACATTCTTACTTAACACAAGGTGTTATCTTTTATGCATCCATACATTTATACATACAGAAGTTGTAGAAGCCAAATTTCTTTTCCAACATACTACGCAAAAAGCACTACATGTTCTAATTTAATACCAACTTTGGTTTTTAGGCAACAGTTCCAGCTTATGGCTTGTGGAATAGGATACTAAATTTGATTCCAAATCTGCCATCACTCCAAAAGGCATCTCAAAATAGCTACACAAGAATTTTTCATAGGTGAAATTCAATCTTAGATACCCTTTTTTCTTTCTGCTCACTAGCAGTAAGTAGCTTTAAAGCTGTCATATAATGTTCAACTAGATACAACAATCTGTTGCATTAGAACATCAGATAAAGCAGTATATCATAAAAAATACAGAATACCTGGTATTTTCCTTTATAGTCTTAAAACCATGAATCAAACTTCATGGACAACTCTGAATTTCTACATTCCTTTAACTATATAAAAAGGATGTACCCTCCAGCAGCTGTCTCAAACAACTTATGTGCAGCATAAGTTTGGATGATCTGGCTAAGGAAGTACAAACCAGTTCAGAAATTGGCTATTCACCTTAAGATCTGCAGCCTGTACAGACAGTCATGACTATTCAGCTGTATTTTCTGCTTGAAAATAGAACATTCACATGCCAAAGCACTGAGCTAATCTTCCCCTTATCCTCAAACTAATGTCTGGAATGTCCCAGTTAATTTATTGGAAATTAATTTATACAGGACCGAGAGCCATGAACTGAAGGCCAGAAGTAGTCAGAGAAACAGGAACAAGCCAGAATTATTCATTCACCCATTGAAATCCATATCCCTCCAAAGAAAGGGCTCTAGATTTTATTTCATACAGCCTTGTCCCAAAGAATAAATATTTTACCTTCTGAAGTGCAATGCTAAGAGCAGACCCCTTACTAGCATATAGCTAATCAGTGCTAACCTATTAGAAATCAGGTATTACTGCAACATTTGCACTTGTTTAATTGAAAGGTGCCCTTTACAGGGATGTTGTATTCAATAATATGGAAATGTGATGCAGAAATAAATTTTAATACAACCAAAAGGATAGAAAGAACGCTTACCTCTGTTCAGAGTAACTCTGGAAAGCCCAAAGTCTGTCAACTTTATATGTCCCTGATTAGAAATTAGCATATTGTCTGGCTTCAAATCCCTGAAAAAATGAATACAGCTGAAGTCAGCAAAAAGAGCACAGAGCAACACAAAGAAGGTTCACTGAAGAGAAACACTCAATACAAAACATTGGTTAGATTTGTTTAATAGTAACACCTCCTAGCCAGCAGAAGATTCCAGTTTGAGAAACACATGAACTAAATCAACTATATTTAGCATTAAATATGGCACAAACATCTCAGGCTTTGTAAAAATCATGCATGCATGTCAAGAGTTGCATATTTTGTGCTGCAGCAGGCTCGACAAGTGTCCTTCACAAGTAGCACCATCATAACATTCACTCATGTGCAGCTCCTACAGGTGATAAGCAAACCCCCAGTAGGAGTTTTCATGTGTGCTCTCTGCAGCATTGCTGAATGCAAGAAGAGCTCTCACTATGGGGGAGCACCAGGGTAGCCGTGTCCCCCTGTCCTACAGGCAGGCCCAAGTGTGCAGTACCCAGGGGGGTTCCTGAACCATCACAGCTGCTAATGCAGCACTGGACTGGGAAAGAACTGGCAGGGAAAAGCAGCATGGGTTTGTGTGCTCAGCACACCCAAACAGATTTTATTTTAGCCATTGTTTCACAGCATTGCTGCATTGCACACGTGCAAAGAGTTTCCAGGAGCTCTAGCAAATGAAGTGCCCGTGGAAGCTGCCACAATGAAACTGTGATGGTTATGTGTTAGAGTGAAAAAACAAAATATGCAAGCTACCAAATACTTATTTGTAAGAAAAGAAAATTCACCTGTGGATTATTCCATGCCTATGAAGATAGTCAAGAGCCAATGCTGCTTCAGAAATATACTTAACAGCCATTTCTTCATCAAAATATCCATAAATATGGAGAAGAGATTTGACATCTCCACCAATAAGGTACTCCATCACCTGCCATTCAAGCATTATAAATTTAAAACACATTTCAAAATTGAAAGTAAAATACAAAATAACTTTCACCCCTATAAAAATATGATTTCAAGGAGCAGAAGCAGATAGAAGTAGCTTTGTTCAAACCTCATTTCTCACACAACACTTTTCACTTGGATAAAATAATTAAAGTGTCATGTAACAGACTGCTGACTACAACTGTTGAGAGTTAACTACAGAAAATTTCCTATATTATAAATGTTATATATTCCTATATTGAATATTATGTATTTTAACCTATATTTATATTCATATATTACTCTATATTTAGCTTAATACTGTATATTTCCATAGTACAGAAAATGAGGTGCAAAGCATTCCTGTGAAACTCCACGCCTGAAGCCAAAGACCACCTGTTCTATACAAAGCAAAGTATCTCAATATTTTATCTTGCAATCATTTATACACAATATTAAATTCAGACCTAAGCTTTGTGAAATAAGTGCAAACTATCAAAAATGCAAATAGTGAGAGTTACTGTGCATATAAGACACTTGAAAAAGAGTGCAAAAAAAAATTCACACACCCAATAGACCATTATGCAGAGACATTCTGATGGCCCATGTCATATTCAGAATAAAATAGAAGTCAGCAGAACTTCTGAAACTCACTCTTTGATGTCAAGAATGCATTTATGGGGTTTTGGTCAGGAAATCTCACCAGTACTTATATTCCAATACACAATATTCTTCCATGCACATATATATAAACACACACACATATATATATACATACACACACACATACACACAGACATGATTCTGGCATCTCCTTTACAAATCCTTCACCCTGAAGTCCTCTACTCCATCCAGCAATTCAGAGACTCCAGAAAAAGAAGGCTTTGCTTACACTCAAAATGCATTGTAGGAGTGCATAGCAACCTTGTCTCAGAATTGCATCAAGCTTTCCCTGTGTGTGCTTACAACAATCCACAAAAATTGTGCCAGACCCTTTGTAGACAGTCTGAATCCTTATGTGGAAGCAGTACATAAACCCATGCACAAGTCCTGCTGTGCTCCACAGGGCTCCATGTGGACCAGCATCTAATTTTGCCACCCACTTACCATCTTGTCATGTAGGCCAACAACTGTAACAAATCTTGAGCACTGGCAATAAATAAAATAGATTTCCTTTCAGTGAGCCATGGAGTATCATCCAGTCACCTGGCTTCTGCTTGAATAGAATGATTTCTTGTTTTCCCTAAGATCTCTATGTATTTCTAAGACAGAACACTTGTAAGAATTATTAAGTTTCTCCTGTAATAGAAGGGGACATGAGCAGGAAGAGCCCACAGCACCAGAGGAAGAGAAATATTTTACTTGTTCAACCATCCTGAGAAAGATGTAAAAGTGACTAAGGAATACCATTACAAAAATGCTTTGAGATATCACTGCCGCTCATACTCAATTTTCAACACTACCATAATATGCCACAGCTATTTTTTTACTTACTAAATAGACATTGTTTGCAGACTGAAGTGAGTAGTATAAGTGCACAATGAAAGGACTTTTACTGAGAGCCAATGCATCCCGCTCTGCCTGCACCTGGTGAACCATATTTTTGTTGATCATGTCTGCCTTTTTCATCACCTGAAAAACAAAACAGTACACAAATGATTTAACCTCAAAATGCTCATAATAAAACTGCATAGAGATATATAGCTCTGCAGAGCAACGCCTATTTTGTATGACTGTTTTTATGTTTCCTATTCTTTGTGTACTACGTAGCTTGCTATAATCCTTTTAATCACAAAGTCAAGTTTGCACAAATAATTGGTAAGGGTCTTACTAACAGCAAGCCTAGATTTTAGTCCTTTGTGCAACAACACAGAAAACGCAACAGGTTTTGGTCGGGTCTTTTAAAATACTTACTCAGCAAGAACTTTTTTTATAACTTATTCTCATCTTGTCTCTCAAAGGCGGTGCTTTAGCCCCCCCCGGCAGGCGCGGCAGGGGGCTCAGTTACAAGCGAGAATCCAACAGCTCTCTGGCGCTTTTGCCGCCATTTCCCCTTATTTAAAGTACTTTTAAAACCTGCTGTCGTTATCAGAGCTCCCCTGGCCAAACCCTGCAGCACTTCGGGGAGGTGAGAGCAGGGCACGGCCGTGCACACTGCCGGCCCGGGGCACCGCCCGAGCAGCGGCCGCTCCCGAGGGCCCGGGGCTCCCCGAGGGCCCGGGGCTCCCCTGTGCCGCACGGGGCTGCTCGGCAGCGGGGCCGGCAGCGCCGCCATCCCGGCCCCGCCTCACCTTCACGGCATAGAGCCGGCCCGCCTTGCGGCCGAGATACACCTTCCCGAAGGCGCCGCGGCTGATGGGCTTCACGATGGTGAACTCCTCGATGGAGGGGGGCCGGGGGACCTCGACGCGCATCGAGCCGGCGGCTGTGGCGGCGCTGGGGCTGGCAGAATCGCCCCGCTCCTCCCCGGGCCGCTCGGGTGCCATGGCGCGCCCGGCCCCGGGCCCGCCGCGGTTCAAACCGGCCCCGCCCCGCCCCGCCCCGCCCGCGCCGTCACCAACGGCAACCGAGCTCTCGCGAGACCCGCGGCGCCGCGGGGAGTGCTGCCCTCAGAACGTGCCCGTGACAAAACACCAAAACACCAAAACACTAAAACACCAAAACACCGCCCCTCCGGGCTGGCTGGTCGCTGCTTGGGGGGCAGTGCCGCCCTCAGAACGTGCCCGTGACAAAACACCAAAACACCAAAACACCGCCCCTCCGGGCTGGCTGGTCGCTGCTCGAGGGCCATCTAGGTTTTCGCACCTCTAGGTTGTAACTAGCTGTGAGCAGGTATTGTCCCCCCATTCCCATGGGAGGCTTGAAGGTGGCCTTTGCAGGGACAGGAGTTGGACTGATGGGTCCCTTCCAACTCAAGGAAATTCTGTTTTTCTGTAATTTTCTCACACTTGCATACTTGATAGCTCCAAGACCTGTGTCCAAAATGGCACAGCCAGGAGGGCTTGTCTGCCAGAGAACACGCTTTGTCTAGTTCTTATTACTGCCGTTCATCCGTCGCTATCTCGTTGCATTTTCTGGGCTAGCGATGGCAAACCGCTCCCTGGGCGGGTCTGTACTGATCAGGAGTCAGATTAACGTGGTCGGTTGCTTCCCACCAATTCTTGATTACTTCATCTGCTATTTATCTTAGGCAGGGTTGTTCCACAATTTGTTTCCTTATTTTGGGCATCTCCATGGCTACATTCTGCCTCCCTCTTGTGACAGCAGGGTCAGGGATGGCATTTACAGTGTACTCTGACCCAGCTGCCATCCTCCTGTTCCCAGAGCACAGGCCCTCTGCTCTGTTTACACTGCACAGCCCTCAGTGTTTACCAGTTTTACTGCTCTCAGCTGTGTTCTAGGTCACTTTTTTAACCCTTGCCTTGCTAATTTTATGTTGGTTTCACATGTACATGGCTGTTCATGTTTATTTCACACTGATCATAATTGTTCTCTTGCAGTCTGTGCATCAGCAAAGAGCTATCACTGCAGAGGTCAGTGAACAACAGCGGGTGTCCTTTCACACAGCAGAGTAATTATGAGGCCCTTGTTTTGCTCCAAGATACATCATTTACAATCTGACCATGCTCAGAGACCTTGCTTGTAACTTGTGAAGGCGAGCTGCTACCCCACAGATCCCAGCAATACAATAAGCGATGCAATTTAATAAGCAAATGCAGAAAGCATATTTTAAATTAGCTTTTCGTAATGATATTAAATACAATTTATCCTTGTTTGTGTTTGTTATTTAACTCTGCAATGTTAGTTTAGGTGTGTCTCATGGGCTGCAATGCCAGTGGAAAAATCCAGCTGAGAGAAGGGGGGATTGCTTCTTGTGCTGGCACCCTGAGCAGACATCAGGGTATGCCAGCAATGATAGTGCATCAGGAGCGTGTATTCCACTACCTGAGCCTCAGCTCACTGGAGAGAGGGTAACACCTTCTCTCTCTTCCATCGAGGCAGCATGAGCCATTGTATAGCTAAGTGGAAAGCTGCTTCATGGAGTGGATCTAGGTAAATGTTCATCACCTTTTAGATTTTTTTGCTGTTGTCAGCTGAGGTTTCTGCCAAATCAGCAAGCTGAGCTACATGACTTTGGTCACGAGAGTGCTAGTGGAAAACAGAAGAGATGTACACAAAGGCAAGGAGAGGCAGCAGTGGGGCTGTGCTCATCCAGAGCAGTGTAAGTTGGTGTGGGTAGCACTTTCAGTGAAGAGTAGTGGTCAGGTGAAAGAAAGAAACCGCTAATAAAACCCCCACAAAAACCAGCTTTATGTAAGTCCAGATAAATGGCATCTGTAGCCCTTCCCTTATCCGCTGATACAGTTACTCCATCCTAGAAGGCCACTAGGTGGTCACCTCCTTCTCCTCCATTGCTTTAGAAACATCATACACTTGGCTAATCTTTTGTTTTAAGGAAAAGGAAAGACAGTCCCAAAACAAATGGGTTGTCTGGACAAGAGCCACCAGGATTGAAGTCAGGACTGAGCAGTAACTGGGAAAAGGTAATTCTGGCAGTGGGAGACCCTGACCACCTACTTGAAACGGACGCCAGACTTCAGTGGAAGGAAGAACGGCATGTACACATTGATTAGCACAAGAAGCGAGATCTATAGCTAGCAAATACGGGGTTGAAATCTAATTAACAGAACACTTATGTCATTTGTAACCAACGAATGTTGATGTCGTTGTTAAAATCTATAGTGTCAAGTTTTATGATTTGTAAGCCAGCCTTTCGCGAGTCACCACTATGTCCCCACTTTGTTCAAACTAGAATAAAAGTTAGTAATACCTCGCCCGGGTGTGTGAATTGGCGCTGCGCGCCGGTTAACGATCCGCATTCCGGACAACACCCGGGGCGATGACCCCGAGCAGGGGCAGGACCCTCTGGCAGCTACACCACCGCCGGCTGCGAACGGGTCTCCGGCAGGGCCCTGCCCGGTCCCCCGCCCGGGCACCCCCGGGCCCGGCCGCGCCCACTCCGCTCTTCCGCCTCCGCCCCGAGGCGGCGGCTGCGCGGGGCGGCGGCGGCGGCGGCCCGGAAGCTCTTTGGGCTGCCGCCGCTTCCGGGGCGGCTCGGCCCGGTCGGCGCGGCCGCGGGGCGGACATTTCCCGGAGCGGAGCCGCGGCGCCTCCTCAGCCGCCGGCGGCCACAGCGGGCGGGCTCCTGCGGCTGGGCTGGGAGGCGGAAGAGGCGCCTGCGGCCGCCGCCGGCCCCGCCGGCAGGATGTTTTCCTTCTCCACCGTGCAGCCCCAGGTGAGGGCTGGCGGCGCTCCGGCCCGGTGCCGTGCGTGGTTCTCTGCGCGCCGGGGCGCTCTCCGGTGGGGCTCGCTCCGTGTCCGGGGGGAGGCGCTCGGAAGGCCCGGGGGTTGCGGTGGCAGCGGGAGGAGCCAAGCTCCTGCCGGCCGCGTTCCGGGGCTTTGGGCGTCAGCGCGGAGAGCAGCGGGCGGGGACCGCGGCAGTGCGGGGTCCGCATGAAGGAAAAAGAATCGTAAATGGAGGAGCGGGGAAAGTACAGCAAAAGCTTGTAAAGAGTAAAAGCATCCTGAAACGACTAAATAGGGCTTTTTAATGTCTATTTTTGTGGTAGAAGCAAGGGATGGTGACGTGTGTTACTACAGCTAAACTGTGCTGTTAATTTTAACGGGTTGTTGTGAAAGCCAGGAGGAAATCACTCCGAAGAGTTAGTGGAGGGAAAACCGTCGGTAATTTGTTAACACAGAACAGTCCGAACGCAATCGGGAAGGCACCTTTAATTAGGCCGTAAGTCTGTTTGGTCTGGTGAGTTTTATGGACTTTGATCTTAACCAGTGGTTTCGCTTTTATTTTTAAGTGTTGTATTAGTATGTGATAGTCAGTTAACACGATAGTAGTTGATTGTTCTTTCCACACGTGGAGAATGTGTTCAAAGCTTTCATTAGAGTACTGAAATGGAAGGATTTGTATGTTTGTAGGAAGGTGTCATTTCACCAGAGTTTGGTTAGTGGTTGGGATGTTGGCTTTGACCTCTAGAGGCTTTATGGTTTTACCACAAACTCTTGAGTCTAATTACAATTTTGGACAATTAATTATGAGGCAATTTTCATGTCTCACAGCATTGTCTCTTTTGATCTTCTGTCTAGTCAACACAAAGATGGTAGTCCTTACAGGAGGACGTTCATAGGCATACCCAATTGTACTTCAAACAGGAATTGCAATCAGGGATCATTCCAGTAGCCAGCGTTGTGTCCCAGCTCCTTCCCAGTGATGTGTACTGAGTTTGAGGAGGTTTGGAACTGCTGGGGTTGTTTGTCCCATATGTTCACAAGAGATGTCAAGAGGAGGAGCCCTGATAGGTGGTGCAGCTGGGCTTCTGTACTGGTTCATGAGGTGGAGTTGGCTGAATGCTGATCTGCACATTTGACTGTGTGCTTTATATAGTTTAATTTTAATCCTTAAGCTGAAAGTGTGATCCCAAGGAGGAAAATATGAAGGCAACATTTGGAAATGGCTTATAATAATGCAAGAAAAAGTACAAATAATTCAAGTTATAGAATTATTGCTTTAGAGATGAAAATAAGAGTTTCTCATGTATCATATATGCTTAAACTTTCATTTTTTCTCTTTAAAAAGAGATATCAGCTAACACTGTGATGTTGAAGATCATGTGGTTTATAATTAAGTCCTCAGTTAAAAGGCAGTGTACAAGAGATGCTATGATAAGTTAGAGTTTGGAACAGAAGTATATTTAAATAATTTAAACAAGCTCAAGTCCTTACCTAATTTTTTTCCAGGCTACTGTTCCTCTGAGTCACCTTATCAATGCCTTTCATTCACCAAAAAGCTCCACAACTTCTGCCAGCAAAGCGTCCATACAGCCTGTCCAGAGGGACACCTCCCCAGAGCATGATCCTCAGAAGAGTGAGGTACAAAAACCTTTTTGAAAAAGTGATGGTTTAACTGATATTAAAATCTGAATAATATCAGTTTAAGTGAATGTAATATTTGACTAGTCTGTAAAATAATGTAATATGACTAAACAAAACAGGGTGTTAACATGTAGAATGTATCCTTTTGGCAGAACTGCGGTCAGTCAGTGTTTTGCCAGTAAGGATTCTACAAACATACATTTCATTAAAAAATGAGGTGGTACTTGTCTCGGTAGTACTTTGCAAATGAGGAACTGATTTGTTTTATTTCCAGTTTAATGGTTCCTTCTGTAAAGTAACAATAAGTTTTCTGTTAATAAACCCTATATTACCTTTTTGTTCTGAATTCTAGCAAGGCTTGTGTCATTATTGCTTGTGAGAAAATGGGGACTGTAACTTAAGATGTGTTGAAGGTTTTTTGAGAGATTAAGTGGCATGGTTTCATGTTTGGTTTTATTTTTCTGTTAAAATATCTTTCATTATCATTGGGTATTTCTTGCTTTTGACATTGAAAATTAAAACAGTGCCAAGTAGTATTAGATACTGCCACTTCTCTTTCAACTAATTTCTTACAAGTTTTGTAACTAAGCACTTTTTTGGGAGAAAAACCATGGAATTGCTCAGTAACTGCAGAACCGTGGAAATCAGCATGGCTTGTACTGCTCACCACTATGTTGTGATTCCATTGTTAGATTTTTGTTGGGTTTTTTGGTTTGGTTGATTTGGTTTTTTTCAGTCTGTATTTGCTTTTTGGGCTACTGGGAATTTTTTTCCCTAGGGTGATCTTACGTAAATTTTTAACATTAATTTCTGTTTTGCAGTCTTTATTTAAAAATTTAAGAGATCTGGGATTGTCTGATTTGAAAGCTAACCAGTTCAGAGAGTTGGTGAACAGGCTGCTTCCTGGCTACTGTACAGAAAGCAAAGTCTCCTCGCAGTGGCACACGTCGTATGTCTCTGCTCAGTCCTTCTTTGAAAATAAGCATGGTATGTTTGAATGAAGTGTTTGTGCGAGTTAAATTATAAAGGTGAATACAGTTATTCGTTAGTTTAATCTCTTGTGCTGTAGATAATTTTTAGTTAAGAGTATTTAATAAAGAGTATTAATGTATTTTTTGTTGTATATAGCTTGTCTCTGTAAACTTGAGAAATTTAGAAAATTCAACTAATTATTTCTTTTGATTTCAAGTTGGTTGCTGTTAAACTTTACTGAACTCAGCTCTAATACAAGTGCATTTCTCTTAATGATGAGCCTGAGCTGTGAATATTTCCTCCAGTTTGTTTCATCAAGTCATTAGATTTTGCTAATCTACTTATGTCACAGACATCTCCAGTTTACATTGTTATCAATTTTTTACTTGAAGGAATGTGACACAGAGATACTAATTAGAAAGGAATTCAAGGTAGCAAACTGTTAACAGTCCGTGTAGAAATAAACAAGAAATAAAACAAGAGTAGTTCCTTGCAGTGAAGATGTTTTGTTGGAATTAGTCTGAAATGAAGGAAGACCATTGCAGTTGCCTAAGAATCTATTAGAAAAAGAAGTATATAGCTGGCATTTGAGATACTGTCTATATAGTACTGCATTAGAAGGAAGGAGTGTAAGGAATAATATTGCAGGGCTGCTATTAGAGAAAAAATATTAAATTGCATTGTGTTGTGAGATACGAAAAGATAGCTCAGAGGCATTGCCTGAAAGCAAACAAATACTTGGAAATGCTTCAAAACTTTGATAGATGGTAATTTGTTTAATTATAGGTGCCTGGAGTACTACAGTAAAATAGAATTAATTTTTTTAAAACTAAAAAAAATCAAACTGTGCATG